TCACCCCAAGTGTCTTGTTTTCAGTGTGGGGCCACTATTATGCTGTTTTTAGTACGGGGGACGCATCATGGATCGTTGAGTAGAGGGGGGGCTAGGTCTAGGGTCAGGGATAATTCTTGGTATTTTTGCCTTGTTTTTGTCATTGCCCCGCCCCCCCCGCCTGGTCGGAGGGGGCAGAATACATGCAAAATGTATTGAAAGATTTATTTGAATGAAATACGGCCTTCTTCAGGCCGATTGTTTTTTTCTCGGGCGCTCATGCACGCGGGGTGGCGCATGCATTAAAAAAAAATGTTTCTTGCTAAAAAAACTCCGAAGATTTCAACAAAAAAATCGAAAAACAGATCGGACACGGTTAAGGGCCCGTACAAATTTAGGTACCCTAACTTATGATACAGAGGAAGTATTAGGCAAGATGAAGAGTCCACACACACGCACAGAAAGACAACCCGTTCGAGACATAGACTACCCACAAGTCATGTTTTGCATGGAGTCGTCTCGTGCACGGTATGGCAGTATCTGTTAAACGGGAGACACCATTATTATATAACTGAGTTTGAAAGACCGTCGGCTACACCTGCCTCTCCCCGAACAGCGATCCTGGACCACGAGACAGATACTACATAGACATACATGCCTTCAGATTTCGTCTGTATGTACGCCTCTTCTGCTGTACATAATCGTTACAAGGCACGAACCCGTCCGCTGTACATCGCAAATCCTCGCAAATATTCCAATACGTACATACATACGTGTACAGCAGTATGCGAATAACACGGACACACGTCACCACCGCCGAGAAAATAACGGATCACCCGTCGCCACGGCAGGATTTGGGAATTAAAATGTGGGCCCGCTCTCGAATTTATTCATCATGTTCTTCCTGTGTTTCATACTTACGAAATTGTATTGTTCCTAAAAAATACAGCTGAAAAAGAATAGAAACTAGAGAGAGGGGGCTCCGCAGATAAATGCCGAGCTTGGATCAATTGCATCATACGACCCACTGCATTGTGGGGTGTATTGGGGCGCATAACACACATGTATATAGGTTGAAGTCACCCGATCGATACTTTCTTCAGCAGAGCCAGAGACGGGAGGGGAGAACTGGCTCCCTCCTCGGTAATTTTGTTTTTCCACTGCTCCGACGAGATGTGTTGACTCCGTTCCTATGCATGTGTTTTTGGCAGTTTACCGGCGTCAGAATTTCCGGCCCTTCAGTTTTTCCAAATCTGGGTCCCCATGGACCCATGGAATGGTCACGTCGCCCCACAGCCGTGTTCCGTGATATGTGTAGAACGAAGACGCCAACAACTCAAGTAGTGTGCGCATGGCATCAACGACCAACCTTGTTTCGCTCTCTCCCGCTCATTATCTCTTGTTCGCTCGGGAAGACTGACGTTTGGCTGGATCTCGTCTTGTTTTGCTTTGCGACGCCTTCCTACTGCTGTGTCCACCTGCAACCAGTCTGTGACACACGGGAAAGGGGCGGGGGACAAGAGGTGTGGCTATTGCGCGGCTAGCTGTTCGACGACACAAAACGGCTCGTTTGACGAGGCTGTCGTGCCCAGAGTCGGTATCGGAGATAGCTTTGGTGGCGAGCGGCCGGGGTATCTACCATGAGCGCAGGCACGGGATTCCCGTACATTTTGTACGACTTGCTCAATGTGAGTGCGAGCGTTGTGGCTTACTTTGCGTCTTTGTTGAGAGAGAGACAGCGCGCGGTTAGGCTTGCTTGCCTCTCGCCAATTGCCGGCCTCAAGGCAACACAGAAGGTTCAACGGCGGGCGGAACGACTCCAATGGGTTGACTACAACAAGCTGCTATAGGGTTGATGCACAAGACAAAGTCGGCGCCCTTGTTTGATTGATCATCTTGCCCACGGAGGTGTGTGCCTGGTGCCTGTCGGTGTTTGCGAGCGTCCGGACTCGAAAAACGTGTCCCCCCATATACCATGCCAACCAGCCGCTGCTGCTGTGTGTGCCCGCGTTGTTGGTTGTTGGTCGCACCATTTTTATCTGCTGTACGTCCCGTGTGCACGTGTATCCGGTAGTGTCTCGATCAGACAGAGACAGAGATGTTGGAGAGAATTTCGTGCGAGGCACTTTTGGAGCAACAACTTCCATCTGACCTCTCGGGGCGTTGGCGTAGCAGCGCGCGGTACGCGCTAGCCGCTACTCAATGACCGACGAACGCCGAGAAAGTGACACTATCTTACCTGTCACCTGTAACACCCGCGGCAAAAGAAGAGGGCACCAATGAAAGCGAAACAAGGGGAAAGACAGACCAGTGCTGCACGGTTGAAAAAAAATAACTGCGGAGGAACAAAACTATCGGTTTACACAGAAGAGCATCGTGACAGGCGTACACCCATCCAAAGGCCAAAGGCTCACAGCAGTAGACTATTCCAGCAGCTGTCGAGGGAACCAAGTTTTGCCATGTTCCGTCCACTGTAGGCTTCAAACTTGGCGGCGCAACTCGCAGCCCTCTACCCAAAAAAATGTGCCACGCGTATAGTCTATACGCGGCGTAACCAGCGTGCTATGCACCCGCGGCAGAACGGCAGAGACCAAGCACGAGAACGCGCCCACCACGAGATCAATCACCACGAAAATTTGAGGCAACACGAACTGAGCATCAAAGAGCGTAATGCAAGAAAATTCAACTCCATTTATACAGAGGGTCGAGAGGTAGGCACGGTGCGCATACAGGCGTCGTGCTTATGCCCTGCCACGGGGCCGGCAACACCGAGCACTGGTAATGTTAGCTGCTGATGTGGTGATTATACAGCAATTTGAATTGTGCTGCAATACGCACTTATAGGTGTAGTACTCTTGAATGGCGTCAGCTAAGTTTGAACTGAAATTGCTTCTGCTGGTGTTGCACCGCACACACCACGCTTGTGCCTGTTGAGTCGGGACCCTTACACGCAGCGTAACTTTCCTGATTCCCGAAGAACAAAAGGTAAGGAGGAGGGAGTAGCGACAGTAACACGGCACCTACAGTAACAGTGAGTTTGGTCACTATAATAATAGCGTTTTGCTATCTGATGTCGCACGCAGGCACGGTCGGCATATATTTAGTGTGCACATTGAAATATTACTTCTCAAAGTGAAAGAATATGCCTTGAGCATTGGTTGTGTCGAAAACGCGAGGAAATACTTACACGCGGACGCCGCACACGAGACCAGGCCCCTAGAGTTGCCCAAACCTATCTACATCAAGCCCGGACTGAAGGATATACAACAAATTTCGTACATGTTTACAGTCAGTACAATCGACTCAGGCCCGAACGCACACAGCACCCCAATAGGTTTTCAGGGAGTTTGCCGATAAAACGCGAAGAACAAATTACCATGCCAACAAACAACGGACACCCAGCCTGGCCGAAAAAAAAAGCCCCCCCGTCGCCCCCCCCGGTGTTTGCCATCGGGATTGGGTTTCGTCGCTTGGCAACGATGTAAAACAAGCCAATTCACTTCGTGAACTCGGCAACCAGGATACCGTTTTTTTTTTTTACCTCCGTTTTTTTTTTTGGCGGTAACCATAATGGTGGTCGAGTAGATCATGTTGTGCGGGGTGGAGAACCCTCACTCCGCGCAAGGGGGATGATCGCACCACGTTGTGTTAAAATGGTCAAGCACCCTCGAGGCAGTTACACAGTGCTTACAACTGTCTCTGGAAGTGAAAGCACCAGAAAATAAATTAAGTCATACGCAGCTGTCATCCGTACGCAAGGAAGTAAGCACAAGATGCCGAAAACCCTTAGCAGGATGCAGCGCACCCTTCATGCGACTCGCCGAATATCTCACGGCGCTTCGCGCTTGGTGATGTGAGAGCCTGGTCCGGTGAGAACCCGGCGTGCTCCGTCCCGGCTTTGTAGGGATGCGAGGTCAATGGTCTAACGACTACGGCATGCACGACTATGAGTACACCCCCCCGTCCGTCCGTCCGTCCGTCCGTCTCCCTGCGCAAGTAGTTCCGATAATTGGCCGGGCGAAAACGTGCGCTCTAGCCGGCTGGTCAGCGTTANGCAATTGTCTCTGGAAGTGAGAGCACCAGAAAATAAATTAAGTCATACGCAGCTGTCATCC